ACGTTTAATTTGACGCGTCATTTGCCTTCCAAATATGTACACAAAAACCGCCACACGTCATTGTGTCTGAATAAGGAAAATACGCAGTCAAAACTTGTTATAAAATATGTAAACCCAGACGTATGACTCTTTTCTAATAAACATGGGAAAAATTTCGAATGAAAGAAAAAAAAACACCGTGTCATGCAATTACTGCCGCGTTAAAAAAGTTAAATGCAACGGATCCCCATGTACCAAATGCTGTAATGATGGCAAAGAGTGTCATTTCGAGGAACCTACGAAAAGGGGCCCGCAAAAAAAAAATAACATTGTGTCAAACAAATATAAAAAATATGATGGATGCATTGTACCGTCTTATACAGAAGATTTCCATATTTATCGTGAAGAAGTATTTTTAGTGGCCGATACGATCAATGCAAACGAATGTTATCTAGAAACCGAGAGGATTTCTTACTCAGAAGATCATTTCGATTCTAGCGAATATTATAAAGACGAATCTGTGAACGATTTCCTCGGAGCAGGAACGGGAAATGCCGACGAAATCATTAACGACGACGAATTAAAAAATTCTTTTTTCGAAATTAAAAAAAATTAAGCATTTTTTCTTTCTGAAGTTGGTGTTTTTTTGTTAAGTATTTATTATTTTTTGGTACAATTTAATAATTCGTATTCAATAAACAAATAAGATACGAAATATGTATATACATGGAAATAAGAAAAAACTACGGAATCTCATCCTCAACGTCACTGAAATGAACGCGCTTTTGATGATTGTGTATTTTATGAGTTTTATCGGATAGATAAACTTCAGAGGATGTCTCATTCTGTGGAGAAGTGCTAGCTTCAGGCATTTCTATGGGCGGTTCCGATACTTCAATAGAAGGCTCTGATGACTCTACATAAGGTTCCGAAACCTCTGCGGAAGGTACGGACGAATCATTTTGTGTAGGATTTGTTGGCTGTAAAATTTGTATCTCGGATGGTGTGTCTAGTGTGGAAGAAGGTGCGATAGCTTGATCCTCGCTTTGGGTAACTTGATTCGACTCTGGTGATTCACTCCCCTCGGGAGATACTGATTTAGCATGACTAATTGGCGGAGTAGGTGGTCTTGGAACACCTTCTGTTTGTATTGCATGAAAAGACGTGGTTATTGTGTTTTCGGTTATGGAATCTTTGGTTTGATGTGTAATGACATCCCAGAATTTCTTTGGAGTTTCGAGTTCTTGGTCAGCGTCTGTAGTTTGATCCAGATCACTGTGGTCGGCCTCATTCGGATCATCATAATATTTAGCATTGGAGGACATATTCTCTGTAGATGTTGATGTTGTGGGAAAAGTTTTTTGTTTATATGTAGCGAAGGGAAATTCGGTTTTCTCGGTATTAGGAGCATCTTGGGATGGTTGCATGATAACATATCCAGGGTGTGAGGTAGTCAACGATTCCTCTTGTGAATCTTCTGACGCTGTTACTTGAGATCTTTGTAAATAAGCTGGAAACTTTTCCGGCGGTGGAGGTGCCCATTCTTCCAAGGCTTTGATAGCACTTGAGACTATTTGTGAAGTTTTCTCTTGACCTAATAAAACGTATAAATTTACTTTTGATATAATGCCAAAGAACTTCCCAAAGGAGAAATAATAATAATAAGGTAATAAATAATACCATGATAAGGAGCTCTCGGTTCACCAGGATGCGTGTCATTAACAGGAATTTCTTCAACAATATCTTTACTGTGCTTGGTTAGAATAATCAACTTCTCCCCAAATTCGAATAATGCGTCCAACTGGGATAACAATGCTGCTCGTAACTTCTTACGCTTGAAGTCGGCCAACGCAGTCTCTTCTATTTAATCAGGATCGTGAGGATGGTATGACATATATAATGAACCTTAAGGAATGTCTTTTAATTAATACCTTCGATAGTTTCTTTTTGTAAAATTTCCATCTCTTTTTGCAAATCCTTTAATTTCTGGTCTACA